TACCCAGATACTAGATATCATGGACCAAATAAAAAGAAGGGGGTGAATGAGGAATGAAAATAGTTGGGACTAGTTCTCTGTCCCAGACAGACAAGTTGCAACAGAGTCAACTGTAGGAAGTTTCTAGGAAGAGACCTGTGGAAACAATAGGCCTCCTTTTTAAATTTCTACAGAATGGATCGGTACAGAATTCCACCATTTTATCCATTCACTCAACAAATATTTATTGAGCACCAACTATGTGCCAGGCATTATGATAGGCATCAAGAGTACAATATTAAACAAAACATCCTCTGTCCTCAGGACCTCATGAAGCCTACTTATCATAGGAGAGATGAGTGCTAAATAAGCAAATACACAATGAACATGTACAGTCAATTCTTGGAGATTGATTTTAGAACACATTGCCATAGAATGGATACCAAAACTATGTTCAAGTTCCTTATATATAATGGTATAGAATTTGCACATAACCTATGCACATCCTCTCAATATACTTCAGAAAAATCTGTAGATTACATATAATACCTAATTTGATGTAAAAGCTATGTAAATAGTTATTATACTATTTGTTTAGGGAACAATGACAAGAAATAAGTCTATATATGTTTGGTATGCACACAAATTTTCTTTTTAAACTTTTAGTTGTCAATAGACTTTTATTTATTTATTTTTATATGGTGCTGAGAATTGAACCCGGTGCCTCATGTGTGCTAGGCAAGTGCTCTATCAATCACTGAGCCTCAACCCCAGCTTGACACAAATTCTTAAAAAATCTTTCAAATCTGTATTTTGTTGAATCCATGGATGCAAAACCCATGGATATGGAGGACTGGCTTTAATTTAAAATGGTAATGAGTACTATGAGCAGGACAAAAAAAAAATTCTGCAAAAGATAAAATATAGGTGGGGCCTGGGCCAAGGGATCAGGATAGCTTGAGTCCCGAATGAAGAGAAGGGGGACAGTCACTTCAATAAGAGACAGGAGAAGGGCCCTCAAGCCTTGTATGTGAAAGCCTGTATGTGAAAGCACTTTGAGGATCAGGCTCTTGAAGGTGCTGGTCAGGAAAGAGGCCTTGTAAGAATCGTTCTACCTTCCACTTCTCCCTGGCAAACCAAAGTATCCTAGGCTTTGTGGTTGCTTAGGATCCAGATCCATGTAGGTTCCAGATGCCAATGAGACATTGCCCAGTGAGGCTGTGGGGTGATACACCCTGTTTGTGATTTCAACCAGTTGGATAAGGTGAGCTTCCCAAGTGTTCCTAGAGCTGACAGCTCTAGACTCATTCCCCAGTGACTTGCATTTTTGTTTGCTTGTGAAGAGGTGAGCCTGAGTCGGTTAGGGTTAATGTCTGAGGCAGTGCTGGGCTTCAGGAAAAGGGCAGGCAGCAATGAGAGCAGGAGCTGGAGCCAAGAAGCAGCTCCTGCCAGCAAGTTCTGCTCTTTCCCTTTCCTCCAGCATGGCTGCCCAAGGAGCCCCCACTGACTGTTTATGGTGATCTGTTTGTTTCGCAATTGACAAAGAAGGAGGGAGCCCTTTCTGACATTTTTGCCCAGAGGCCCCAGACTTCTCAGTATGAAACTGCCAAATACGCAACTTTGAGTGGATATTTGGCTGAATCACTTTGAAGGGCTCGTCAGTGCCTAAAATGGAAATTGTTAGAAAGCAGAGGAGGCTGGTTGCCAGCAACCATGAAATGGTAATGACCAAATCATTTATTTTTGCAATGAAATGTCATCCCCTAACACTACAAAGGTACATTTTTTTTCAAGCTGAAAAGTACGAACTACCTATAAAAATCTTCAAAAGTGATCCTGTGTGCCATGCACACATACTCGCACACCCCTATCTCTCCTACCTTTCGCCTTCCCTCCCAAACCAAGCCTCTTCCTCCAAGTTCCTGGAGACCAGCTGCAACCTGGGATGAATTAAGAGGTTGGCTCATTGTGAAAGGTAATCAGGCTTCAGCCCTCCTATAAAGGGAAGGGGAGTTCGTTTGGTTCTTATAAGATGGTGTGTGGCCGACTTTCCACATGGGAAAGTTGGTAGGCAGTAATAGGTTCTGCCCCCAAACACCATGTGGGTCTTTTTTTTTTAACAGTCTGTTTAAGTCTTACTATAGTTGCACTTAGGAGACGTGACACTTAATAAGGTTTTACTACATGTATCAGCTGAGTTAATAGGCAAATCAGGCAAGATCTCCAATTTGGTACCTTTTCTGTTTCAACTTTGGTACTTATTTTTCTGAGTTTAGCAGGAAGAGACTAGAAAATACATTGTGGACTGATACTGGGGAATGCAGAAAATCTACTAATATTTCTTTGAAAATAGCCATTAAGATACTGTTCCCTTGGGCCAATTCCTGAGAGGCTTTTACCACATAGAAAGCCCTAGGTCCTTCTTTGAGTTTTTCCATAATGACTCCTGTGTTGGAATCAGTGAAAATTTATACTACCATAAAATATATTTTAAAGTAATGCTTTACAAGCCTTTGGCTCAAAAATGTTCAAACGATGTCTGCATGCTCAAAACTGGAAAGTAAGATGGCTTCATTCAACTTTTTCAACAGAAGTGGTTTTCCCCAAACTCATTTGTGAGTGGTAGATTTCAGATCCATTAGGTAAGCAGATCTGGTGTTAAGAAAGGGTATAAGAACATCACTGTTAGTCACTAACCTTGATCATCCAAAAATGGCAGTTGCACAGTGTCCCTGCATTTAAAGCCTATGCTTTTGGAATCTCTGTTATGCAAAGGGTCGGGGTGGCCACTAGATAAATGATGACATTTGACAAATCTAATAGATTTGCCAGCAGAGAAGAATGTGGCTTTTTTCCAACACTTTCTTTAGCTTGGGGAAACCCATTTTGTGTCATCTTCTTTTATGTTTCCACTTTTAAAAAGAAAACATGGCCCATTTTCAGTGCCATGAAGTCACCACTTTGCAGGTCTGCGTGGGGAAGCTTTTTTCTCTGTATAAGGGACACAGAATGTCATGAAAACCAGGAAAGGCACTTAGGCCTGACCAGATATGCAGGCACAGGAAGCAAGGTGGAGCTGTCGGTCCCTAGAGAAGCCAGTATTATCAGTGTCACTTTTGTTCCTCCCAGGAAATTGACCCCACTTGAAAACATGATGGTTCACAGCAGAGATCCCCAAGCTAGCTGTCCTGGGTTGAATACTAGCTCCCCTGCTTACTAGCTATTTAACCTTGAGCAATTACCTCTATGTGCCTCAGTTTCCTAAGCTATGAATAATAATCCTATACTGCAGAGTAAAGTTTTGAGGATTAGATGAGCTCAGATGAGCATTTAAACTGCTTAGAACAATGTCTAGCATGCACTTATTAAATGTTTGGCCAATGTCAGCCATTTTCATTAAGATATCTTTATGAAGAATCTTTCAGATGCATTTGTTTCAGAGAACCTTGGCCTCCTGTGAACCCAGGAGTGGAAAAGGTTGCCTTGCACAGGGCCATCCTGTCTCTCTTGTGTCCAAGACTCTGTCTCTGTGGTCCAGGACAACCTTTGTTTGCTCTGGAATAAGTAACTTTATTCTTCCTGCAGGGCTAACTTTTAGATCCAATGGAGGACCTACCCCAGGTTTCATCTCCCTAGGTGCACAAGTCAGTGATAATTGATCAAAAGAATGGAAAAGTATCTGATGAGGAGAAAAGTGTGAGCATTTAAACTTCACAAATAAGCAACTGTCTCTCACATTTACAAAGGGATTGGACAGAACTTAGACTTGAAGGCTTTTGGAGTTGACAAAGACTCTTTAGAAAAGAATGTTCCCTGGGGGTTCTCCATGTCTACAGAGGTCCAAACAAGAGAAAACAGATTGTGGTTAGACCCAGGGAAGACATTTGACCACAGATGGAAAAAATGCTGGGCCAGATTCCCCAAACAGGTTCTGTAACATGTTTCCCTGGTAAATTGGGAAAAGAGTGACTAACCATCTCTTCTAGATTGTTTCATAGATCATCCGAGCAGGAAGAGCCCTTAGAGTTGTCTTATTTATTTTAAGGATGAAATGGTAAGATGCAGAGAGAAGGGACGATAGCCCTATAGGCATATAACAAATTATTGACAGAACTGGGCTTCAAATCCTAGGCCGAAGATCACACCACTGTACCATAGTGGTTTCTTAAAAGGTAACCGAATTGCTCTTTTTACTGATTCTAGAATGTTCCATAGTACCAACATACTAAAACAAATTGAGGCCCACCCAGAAGGACTCAAAGGTACTGAGCAGTGCCCAAATTGCAATTCCTCTAGTTTATCCATCCGATTCTGGAGCTCTGGCTGTCAAAGTGCTTCGGCCAAGTCTCCTCATTCAACTAACTGGTCTTCTTAACTTACCATTTGAAAGCAGCTGTGGTTAAGCAGAGCTTGCTGACTCAGCCCATGTAGTAAGGATGACTAAACACAAGAATTTCCTGTGGGGGGATGGAGAATATCTTTCAAATGCATTTGTTTCAGGGAACCTTTCTGATCAGTCAGGAGCTAGCCCACCGTGGGCCCATGAGGCAAAGCAGCAGGCTGTCCCCCTCAGCACCAAGGCAGGATTTGCAGATGTTTCCTTTTTTTTTTCTTTCTTTTTCTAAACAACATTGTGGCTGTCTCAGCGGCACCATTTTGGTCTGGCTAGCATTTGAACAGAATTTGATCTGCCAAGTGGTACAGCCCAAAGCCGAGGGGAGCGGTTGTCTCCCCTGACTGGAGGGGCCTTTCACATTCCCCTGATCAGAGGCCTTCTCCCAGGGGTGAATTGGGGCTGATCTGTTTTATCTCAAGGCAATTTCAATTCTGAGCCCACCTTGAACTCGAATGAGAGGATCATTTATGCTGACCAATCATAAAACAATGTGGGCTGGTTTCCATCTCCAGGGTGCACTCTAGGGAGTTTGCAATCTGGAGTCAAGTTATCATGTTCAGGTCTGAATACCACACAGACACTGGACAACTTTAGGAAACGAACATTGACCTTCAGTTGGATTGCTCACCAAGTTTGAGGCAATAATCCAATGAAACCAAAATTTGGATAAATATTTCAAGACTCTTGGCTGGGAAGGAGTCGGCCTTGCTCAATTACAAAGTTGGAGACACCTGGTGCATTTGGGAACGACTCATTTTCTTTACAACTTGCGAATTAGAAAAGGGGGTGGGGAAAAGAGAGAGAGTGAGCGTACTCAGCCATATACAACTTGAAAAGCTCAGACATTGAGGATTCAAGTCAAAGGGACCAGCTTCAACTTTTCCCCATCCTTCCCAGACTCTACCTCGTGTTCCTAAGGAGAAAACAGGACTAACAGCCTCAGAGGTCTCAAAGAAAATCAAGGACTCATTTTTCATAAGTGAGTAACAATTTCTTATTCCAATGGGGGAAATGTTGTGGAATAAACAATGGAGTCATGGAAAATAAACTAGTTTAGGGGAGAGGGGAGGAGAGAGGGAACACCCCAATTCCTTGCCATTTAGCAGTGTGAGCTTAGAGTGTTTTTGTTTTCTTAGTCTGTTTCCAATTCTGTAAAAATTTACTTAAGCTATATGCAGTGCCTGGTAATAAAATGGTCCCAATACATATTTTTCTGAATAACTGAGAATGAGAGAGGAAGAAAGCAAGAGAGTGAATGAATCCATGGTGGAACAATAAGGATCTGTTTGGTTCATGGAGTTGGTTTGAAGCTGAATTGAAATAATCATTATGAGTTTGCATGTTTTCAACAATTTTATGGTTAATCAATTATCTGTATGTTCACTATCTTATTTGAATCTTACAAGGTACCTGCCTGATACATAAGCAGGGTGAGAATCATTAGCTGTCTCATACAGAGAAATAAGGCTCAGAGAAGGGAGGGCAATAAGATAGACCTGAACTAAGACTCTAGAACCAGAACTCCTTTAAACACACCATACAACCTCTTCTTTTTGCTGGGCATAGTGACTCATGCCTATAATCTCAGCAGCTTGGGAGGCTGAGGCAGGAGAATCATGAGTTCAAAGCCAGTCTCAGCAACTTATCAAGGCTCTAAGCAACTCAGTGAGACCCTGTCTCTAAATAAAATATATTTTAAAATGGCCAGGGATGTGGCTCAGTGGTCAAGTGCCCCTGAGTTCAATCCCCAGTATTACTACTACTACTAATAATAATAATAATAATTTTAAAATACCTCTTCCTTCCAAATTAAAAATAAAGTTGAAAAGAAAAGTGCTACAGACCATTGCATTAGATCTATTCCTTACAACTAAGTATCCTTTATGTGAAGACTTGAACATTAGAGATGGGTTATAGAAGCAATATCAGGCTATAACTTACAATGCTATTAAAGATCTGAGTAAGACTGTGTCTACTCACAGCATAAGAGGCCAGGGGGAAATGGCCTTGAAGTGACTTGAGTTGGGATTATCTAATATTTTTGTAAAAGAACAATAGGGCCTCTAGTTGGCAGGAAAGTCAGAGTTGCTATTTGGAATAACAGGGGACCATATAAGAAGGTTGACTGTGCTGTGAGATGAGCGAGCCGAAATATACTGAGTCTGCACCCATCAGGCCCCTGGGCCGTCATGAAGCCATCGCCTGCTTAACAGGGGCAGAGTTGTGGTCCAAATTGTCTTGAGGTTTACATAAGTCTTACACCTCTTGACTCATGGCACTGACAGGGTTGTTAAGGTCATAGTCCAATTTCCATCCAATGAAGTCACTCCTATCTGGTAAGGGGCTTCCTACCCTCCAGTGACAAAAAGCATAGTACCATCCTATGTGAAGTTTCCAGTTCTGCTTTTCTGGCCATTTCTGATGGTGGTCATCTGTGCCGTCGTCATTTCTGACTACACAGGGAACTAGAAGAATACAGAGATGTTACTTATAAATGTATCTCCTGCTGGCAATTAGGCATTGAAAACAAAATTTTCATAGGGCTAATCCTGATTTTTGTGCCCTAGGTTGGCTTGTTATTTAAAGGAATCATTGTTCCCTAATTTATTGCTTTTTAAAACATAGAATTTGGTTTGCTTAAAGCAGGAGTTTTTAACCTGAGGTCTGTTGCTCTTGGATGAGATACAAGAAACTCAGTGAATTTCTCTGAAATTATGTGCAAAATTGTGGGTTTGTATTTATACATTCCTCCAAGGAGAGGGTCTACGGCTTTCCTCAAAATCTCAAAGGGGTTCATACTCAAAAAGTAGAAGCATTGGCTTAGAAAAAGGGGGAATTGTAATTGCGTTTATGAATCTTACAATATCAACTTCAGTTGCCATTTATTCAGAAAGTGACTTTGCTTCTGTGAATTGCGTGGTCTGATTCTCTTCCCTTTGCTGCCTATGAAAGGTATTTACCCATGGGACAAGCTTTGTTCTTCTTTTTCACTGTCTGACTTACAGAGTAATAACTGTACATACCTGTCAGGGGAGATTCTGTGTTCGTGCAGGGTTATAACCATGCTAATGCGAGTTCAGTGGCAGTTGGAGACTAGAATAAGGTCTTTGATAAATATTTCCAAGTTCTTGTCTTCCGAGTATAGCCTATCAGGCAGATATCTTTGTTGTACAGCATGAGTTTTGAAATCAGACAGCTCTGTGACTTTAGGCAAGTCACTTAATCTCTCTGGGTCTCATTTTCCTCACCTGACAGAGGGGGATAATAATAATAATAAGGTGGTTGGGATGAGAAATTAAATCATGGATATAATGTGCTAGACACATAGTTCATGCTTAATAAATAGCGGTACCAAGAGCATCTGTGACAGATGGCCAGGTCCTTAAGAAGATTCAAACCCTTTTTTTCTAAATTTTATTGGTTCTTGTTAGTTATATATGACAGTAGCATGCATTTTGATAAAATTATACGATCAGTTATACTCCATTTATGTACAATAAGTCAAAATGCATTCTACTGTCATGTATAACTAATTAGAACAAATACAAAATTATATAAGCATAGGATATATTTTATGCTAATTAGAACTTCATTCTTGTGGGTGGGCATGATGGTGGGATTCACGTAGATGTTTTGTTGTTGTTGTTGTTGTTGTTTTAAAATATTTTTTAGATGTTGATGAACCTTTATTTTATTTATTTATTTTATGTGGTGCTGAGAATTGAGCCCAGTGCCTCACACATGCTAGACAAGTGCTCTACCACTGAGCCCCAGTCCTAGCCCCAGCCCCATGTAGGTGTTTTCACATAGTAATAGGAAAGGCAGTCAAATAGATCCAAAGCTTTTGTTCTGGGGATACATAGTTATGTCTGGGGGGCTCCCTTTCTATGAAGGGCCATGCTCTTTAGACCATTCATGAGCATGGGGACAAAACTGGTTGTACCTTTGTTACTTTATCAAAGCATGGAGTTTGGCCTGTTCAACAAATGCCCTCTTCTCAGAGCTGAGGAGCCCTGAAACTATGTTTGACTACTGAACCCAGAAGTTCTCCATAGGGATTTAGGCTGTGTTTATAGAAGGCCAGAACAATGGGAGCAGTTAAATCAGCTCAAAACCTCCAGTTGGTCCTTTGGCCTAGTAACAATTAACAGTGTCCAAAGGGTTTCCCAACCCTGTTCCAATTTGATCCTCAAAAGAGCCAGAGGAGGTGAGTAGAGTGGGTGTTGGAAAAATTCCTTACTATAGTAATGATGTAAGCAAGTCCAGGGTTTGAGGACTTTGAAAATACAGTGGTTGAAAACAGGTATTTACTGATTATTAGTTTTTGAGTTTTAGGTTTATTGACTATAACTGAATATGTCACAGATATGGTCAGATGGAAAGGCTAATATAGTCAGGTTAGGATATCAAGAACTATATGACGACAGAACATCAAAAAGATTATGTGAACTGGGTGCTGTGCCGCATGCCTGTAATCCCAGTGGCTTGGGAGGTTGAGGCAGGAGGATCACAAGTTGGAGGCTATCCTCAGCAACTTAGTGATACCCTCAGCAACTTGGCAAGACCCTGTATCTACATAAAATATTAAAAAGGGCTGGAGATGTGGCTCAGTGGCTAAGCTACCCTGGGTTCAGTCCCTGGGGGTAGGAAAAAAGAAAAGGCAGCTATGGCTTGGGAGAACACATTTGCAAACTGTCATTTTGATTTGCTGTGAGTCTTCATAGAAAAGCTGAGCCCTGGGTGTTGAAGGAGACAAAGGGAAGCAGAAAGTTCGGTGGGAAGATGAAAAAGAACACAGTGGGTGGGGTGAGCATGCTGGGTGAATGGAAGGACTTATGTAGTGGTCATTCAGGAACACTGCTTTGAGCAGTAGTAGGAACTGGAGTTAGTGAGGTTTATGGAAAGCCTTCATTGGGTTAAGGAGGCTATAGAATGTCTTGATGCAGTCTGGACTTGATCTGGTACGCAGCAAAGAGCAGCGGGGTAAGGCAACAGCATGGAGAAAAGGGGATCGAGTCAGAGAGGCCAGCTGGGAGCCAGGACTAAGAATCCAGACATCAGTGGTCAGAGCATGAGTGAGCACAGGGCCACGGAAACAAGGAGAGGACAGCGAGGGAAGTGCCCGTTGGTTTCTAGAGACTTTGCCTCAGTTCAGATAAAGACTTTTCTCACAATAAGGTGTAAATCATTTTTGGTTTTTATATTTCACTAGCGTGAGTGATGCTTCTTTCAGTGCAGGAGCTTGTGACCAGCTTTAAGAAAACCAGGCAAACCAGGAGTGGCAGCCTGTAATCCCAGTGGCTCGGGAGGCTGAGATAGGAGGATCATGAGTTCAAAGCCAGCCTCAGCAATATTGAGGTGCTAAGCAACTCAGTGAGACCCTGTCTCTAAATAATAATGGGGATGTGGCTCAGTGGTCAAGTACCCCTAGGTTCAATCCTCAGTATCAATAAATAAATAAGAGAAACAAAGAAAAGGGCTGGGCATGTGGCTCAGTGGTAAAGCACCCCTGGATTCAATCCTCAGTACAAAAGAAAAGGAAAAAAAAAAACCAGGCAAAAGAACTTGCAAAGTGAAGAAATAGAGAAAACTTTTGCAAAATGGTTCTTTATGAAAGGATGTGCAGAGAGTTCCTCGACAGAAACCATCCTAACCTAGATGTGCATCAGTGCTCTGCACCCAAAGAAGGCTCTGTGCTAAGGTGACAAAACACCTCCATAGTCCCCTCCTTGGCCTTTGTCCACAATTCTAATTGATATAACAGGTCTGGTGAAGCTCTTTGGGTAGAAAGACACCTCTCTCAGCCTGCACAGTTTGGTCAAAACCTGGTTGCTTATTGAGAGCCACAGTTTAGTCAGAATGATGCCTGGCATTTTTGCTAGAGGGAATGGTTGAAAGATGACCCTGCTAAGGGGTTAATACTAACCTGTGAAAAAGAGTGATTTTTTTGGTTTGCCAAAAGTTTTCTTTTCTATATAT